TCAAATTTATCAGGCCTTCACTGAGCAAGTAATCACCTCGCTCCGCACCCGTCCATTCGAAGATCAGGCAGATGAGTCCTGCGCTCGTCACGAACAGGGCGATCTTTCCCGTACGGTATCGCGCCTCCTAGCTCGAAACGCCGAATCCGTGCGCATGGCGAATATCGGACGACCAACAAAACCGAAGAACATTTTCGAGATGGATCTGCCTTCAACATTTGCTTACTGATTGCAGCTTCGTAGGTTATGATCATGCATATAGACATTATATGTTGACGCCCTGTTTTCTACATTCGACATAGTTCCCTATTGCCTTAATTTATTTCTATAATGCATTTGCATTCCCCATTTTTGGATACAAAACTAATAACTTTATGTAGTCTTTCGTTTCACAATTGAAATGCTAGTTAAAATTTTTTTCTGTTCTTTTATATTATTGCTTTTGCTTTACTTCCTTTCCGCATTCCTTAGCTTCATCTCTTCCCCATGCTTAAGTCTATCCTCTCTTATACCTACCCGTTTTCCATACTATATTCGAAAAAAGTCATGGTTTCAAATTGATCGCCTTGTTTCGGAAAGAGAGCTTGGCCGGTCGTTTGTTCCTTATTTTAGCGAATTTGTCCGCGACATATTAGGAAGCAAGGATGCCTGGGATATTGAACAAAATTTAGTGAGCAGAAAATTCTATTTTAACACCAAATGTTCTAGCGGGTCGTACGGCATTTTTTAAAACGTACACCCACGGGTTGTGCGTAGACAATTCAGTGCCTGTTCAACTGCAAAATCACCTAAAAAGGATCGCGATGAAGAAATCGATGGCGAGTTGCCTAGCTTACCTGGACCATGCATCCTTGCATCTTAGAATGGCCTCAAAAGCTCAAGCTTAGCAGACTTTTGAACGTTTGAATTGTAGTGTAAAAGCCTATAGATGGTTAGCGTTCGTTTTGTTCCTTCATCAGACTGTTTGGCCTTGCTGTCGTCCGAAGAAGTGATGTACTCGGTTTTGGCCAGTCATCTCATCCTTTCGATTTCTGAGGGATTAATAATTTTGAACCGTATGTTAACCGTATTTTTGCGATTGCAACCCCTGAACTCTCATAGTATTGTTGTTATCACCGTATCTTCACTTATGTCAATATTAATTCTGCTTATGAGAATTTGCTATGTGCCTAATTGCGCTATTATATGTTTATTATCCATTATCTGGGAAATAATGA